CCCCACCCCCACCCCCCTTGCATTCCTGGATCTGATGTTTTGTTGATCCTTGTGGGGTCATGTTTTGACTAATCCCTCTGTTGATATGGCTTTCATAAATTTATAAACTCTTTTCTTCTCTGTAATTCTCTCATGTCCCAGTCGTCACTCTGAGCTCTCACGCCCTTTAATTTCTCCAACCTTGTGTCGCTTGTCAGATGTGGATGAGTGTGAGACGGGTGTCTGTGAAGAGGAGTGTTTGAACACTCAGGGGAGTTTCCACTGCTTCTGCGACGGACGCCAGGGTATGAAGCTGGCGCAGGACCTTCGGAGCTGTAAGGTGAAATACAAAAACCAGTTGCCGCTGTTGTTAAATGATGATTAAAAGCTATGTCTGTTGGACCACGTGCTATTTTTCTTGCCTCTACCATCCCATCATGGGTTAAAAAGTACAATTTCAAGTGCCATCTTGTATGTGTGCATGATTCTCATGACTTTATCTCCACGCTGGTTGTGTGTTTGTTCTCTCCTCCAGCCTATAACTCCCTGCACAACACCGGCCCTGAAGAGGAACCCCCGCTCTCTTTACCTGGGACGCATGTTCAGCGGTGTTCCAGTGGTGCGGCTGCGTTTTCGCCGCAGGGTTCACACAGGGTGAGAAATTTCTGTTGGATTTTTCAACGTGTTCATCAGCAACAGCTGTCTTGTCTTGGAGGCATTTTCGTCTTAGTTACCTTTGGACAAAGACCATCTTCATTGCTGTTTCCTAATTCTCTTTTCAGCTTTTCAGCAGAGTTTGACTTCCGCACCTACGATCACGAGGGAGTGATCTTCTTTGCTGGAGGTCACTTAAACAGCTCCTGGATTGTGCTGGCGATGAACCAGGGGAAGCTGGAGCTGCAGCTGAAATATGGCGGCGTCAGCAGGGTCACCAGCAGCGGACCTATTGTCAGCGATGGCCAGTGGAGGAAGGTCTGACTCTTCTGCTGAGGATCAAAACAAATAATACTACACTGTATACACTGTCTTCATTAGCTTATTAAAAGCTTGTTAAATGTCCGGTTTTAACCAGATCTCGGTGGAGGAGCAGGGGCGGAGCCTAGTGATTAAGATTGACAGGGAAGCAGTGATGAAGATTGCGGTAAACGGGGACCTGTTCACACTGAAAAAGGGGATGCATGAGCTCAACCTCACTGTGGGGGGAGTGCCTTTCAAAGAGGACAGCCTGGTCAATAAGGTGTGTGTTTTGTTTTTTTTAATGTATACACCACAAAGAGACTTTCACACATTTCCTAACTGTTGTGACTTCATTCGTTCCTCAGGTGAACCCTCGTCTTGACGGTTGTATGAAGGAGTGGCGCTGGCTAACGGGTGAAGACACCTCCATACAAGAAACCATCAGGTCTAATGATAACATGCAGTGTTTCAGCAGTGAGGATCCAGGGGCATATTACCCCGGCACAGGCTTTGCTCTCTTCAACATCACCTATGGTACATGCGTGTTTGTGTTCATAGCTTGAACAACTCTTTGTATTCATTGTAAGCACATGTGGTCATCTTCATCCCCCTGCCCTCCTCTTCTCTTCAGAATCACAGAACCTGAGCGTCCGCTTGACCCTGAATCCAACCACTGCTATCGGGGTGCTTTTTGCACTGGTTCACCAGGACAGAGTGCCTCTCTCCATTGCTCTGGCTGATTATAACCCTGTAACTGATGAGTGGCGAGATGTGAGTAAATACATCCCGCACTGTGCACTTGTTCAAAACCACTTTCTGTATATTTGATATGCAAACTGACTTCCTGTGTGTCTTTAGTTTGTTCTGGTGTCTGTAGGTAATGTCGTCATTGCCAGCTCTCCTGCACCCTTCTGTGATGGTATGAGTCATGAAATCCAGGTGACAATCTCTGGTAACCAGACCCTTCTGCTGGTCGACGGCCATTCTGGACGAAGTGAAGATGCTGAAGTTCCCACCGGCCTCCTGTCACAGTCTACTACCTTCATAGGAGGCCTCCCTGGTGAGCACATACACACTTACACAGAACAGAAAAGTTTTCCATAAAGTTTTTAAAGTACTTCCTACCTCTATTGAAGAGTATCAGCTTCTGTTCTTGTCTGCATGACTGCTGGGTTCAGACTGGAAAACATCCCCGGCAGCTAGAATCTTGCACAGCTCTCAAACCTGAAAGAACAACATAAGATTTTTTGTAATGCAATAATAAAAAAAAAAACAAAAAAAACACACAAAACGCCCCACATGACAACAGATGGATGAATGTTTTCACTGACAAGTTGAACAAAGTGAATAATGTTATTTGGACACTTCTTGTGATTTCCACCCTCAGATGTTCCTCTGGTGTCCACGCTGGTGTCGACACCCTACAGCGGCTGTATGGAGGTCAGTGTTAACGGGCAGCCTCTGGACCTGGACCGGGCCATCCACAAACATAACGACATCCGCTCGCACTCCTGCCCCCTGCTGGACTCCCACCAGTGAACGGCGCTTGAATCTGCCAAAACCAATCCATAAGCAGTTCATTGAGACAAGGGGGTGATGGGAAAATGTTTTTAATTGGAATATGTCACAGTGTGGCTTGAGCCCAAGATCACCCCTTCCCCTCCATCCTCTCCCTCCCCGGCCTTATCCTGTGATGACACTGCTGCCTAGAAGCAGTGGCAGGGATTTTCACAGCAGTCTCAGTGTTATGACCCAGCAAGTTAGTTCTTCTGCCAGTGAGTAACACCCCCTGTACAAAGGGAATAATAGCTGCACAGCATTGCCTGAAAACTAGCTGTGTTTTAAAGCCTCGTAAGCTCACAAGAACATGCAGGGTCTAATCCAAAATCAATGCTACGGGTTTGGTCCGGGGTCAGCCTTCTACGCCTGGTATCCTGTGCTTAAACGCAGATCTAACTGGAGGTTTGTAAGCAACGACTAGTCTGTGCTCGTGTTGCTTACATCCAGCTCACTTAAGGTCCACGTTCACAAAGCTTGAATTAATCGAGTGCTAATGTAGAATCTCCAATTAAATGAAAATGTAAGAATTAAAAACACAGGGACCAGAAGACAGTCCTACTCAGCTACTTCACTCAGAGAAAATGTGTGAACAGGTGCTCAGATCTTCAGTGAATAAATCCCATTTGCCCTTAAACCCC